TGCCCAGGATTAGAAGACTAGAAAAACAAACTTGCTGAGTATGCAGTGATGGAGAAACTAACATATTTGAGAAACAGATCAGGTACAAAATTCGAGGGGAGATGGATTGTGTAAGATTTGTATGGAAACAGAAGACAAATTTACAAAGAGAAGTAGTTTAAAATTTTGTATATAAATGTACTGTGATGAAGAAGTAGAATGAGAAGTGTTTTAAATGTCCAATGTTGAATATAAATGTATCCCAACAAAAGTTATTTTCATTGTATTTTATAGACAATGCTTTAAGAATTATTTTATGTAATGAAGGGGGTGTTGCGGAGAAAACATTTTCTTTCTTTTTGTTTATATGATATACAATTAGTTCTTAACTTTCTGTATTTTCTTTTATATTATCTGTTTGTCTTAAAATAAAAAAGTAATTAAAAATATCCTCTGTGTTTCAAGCAGAATGGATAAAGGGGGTAAATCTACAGACCCTCAAAGAAGGTGACCCTCAAAGAAGGGGATGGCAGGAGATTACCAGCCATTATTGTTTTTCAACAAAATTCCTGGCTGCATCTGGTTTCTTTACATACTCTTACAGTGGTTGAGGGACAAATAAAAACAATCACCTTGCCACTGAAAACTCTGCAACTCTTACAGAGAACCATCCCCTCCCCTTCACTGCAATCTTAGAAACAGTTTTTTAAAAATAAAACTAACAGAGCAAGTGTATATAGGATTGCATGTGATGAATCAATCGTCCAGTTGCTGTGAGACATGTCTTCATGCTGGATGTCCTCTGCAGGGGTACCTTAATTGCTACTACTATTTAAGAAATTCCTGGTGGGTGGAATTTCCCATCTCTCTGAAAACATCACCCAGCTCAGAGCAGCAGCTCTGGTGAGCCTTAAAAATTCCTTCTCTGGGGCTTGTCCCCGAAGGTGACTGGCTGAGAACACTCCTGATCCCTTGCAAGGATTCTACTGGAAGGGGGAAATACTGTTGCCCAAGAAATCAGAAGTATCAAAGAAAAACAAGACACTTGCTGATGACTATGACCATAAACACCTAAACTCAAAAAACATGGATTTTTTTTAAGGAGATGGGTTGTTCTTTGTAATGCCTAAGAACTCCAGATTTGTGTTTACCATTCTAGAAACCATGGTAATGACCCAAAACAGTGATTTTCATGTATGTTTACAGTTTGTGAATTTTGGGATGCCCACCTCTACATTTAAGCACTGTGGTGGAGGGGGAGATCATATAGTTCTTTGGACTCTGGCAGAAACTAATGTGATCTTGTATGGACATCCAGAGCAATTGCCTCTTTGGCAGTAATCTGCACTAGATTTCACGCAGTTTAAAAAAGTTAACTACAACATTTATCATTAGATGCCACCCCGTTGAGCTGTAGGGTTGCAAGAATATCTTGCAGAAGCAGCACAATAACTGAATGTACTTAAAACATAATATGGTCAGTGTTCCCTCTGAGCTGAATTAGTGTGAGCTAGCTCAGTTTTTTAGCCTCCGGCGCACACATTTTTGTCTTAGCTCAGGAAGGATGGCTCCAGAGCAAACTAATTTATGCAGCAGCCAAATCGCTCACTCACAACTTTAATGCCAGTAGCTCACAAAGTAGAATTTTTCTCACAAGACTCCACAGCTTAGAGGGAGCATTGATTATGGTGGGGCAATTTTTAAACAAATCAGTTTACTTAATTATGGTAAATAGATTGGCCACTGAAACAGCTAGAAGGCAAGACTCTCTATGGCTCAATGTACGTAAATGCACATTGTACATTCCAAACTTGCATGCCTGAAATGTTTCTGTACAGAGGCTGCTGCTCATAGAAGGACTTTCAAGCTCACGGTTTTGCCAACATAAACGTTCTTTGTTGAACTTAAATGACACTTGATGTTGGGTTACCATGAATGAGTTCCTATGTGTGTGTGTTTCTTAAGAGCATGCAAATATGGTCGTGCTTTGGATCAGGGCCATGAGAGTTTAAGCCTTCTTCTGTACACCTTTTTAACCTGAAATGACCCATGTTCAGGACCCATATGTTTACCCCAACAGGGCAAACTGAAGTACTATTGGTTCATTTCAAGACAGTAGAGGCACGGGGGCAGGAAAACGTAAACCCCATGCCATGGTCTTGATCCAAATTCGGGACCACATGCTTGCTGCTCACAAGAAAAACAAATTCTTGACAACTTGATGCACAGAATCCCCAGCATCCTGTCTGATTTGGCTCTTAGTTGCAGTGTTGTGACAGAAATCACCAGATCCCAGGTGGCAAACCATACACAAATGGCTTACTAGATAGGGCAACCTGCACTTCATTAAATGGCTACTTACGGCTGTCTGTGCAAACTGCACCAGAGATTTTGCTATTAATTACCTGCCTTTGTCAGTTCCACAATCACTTGACCCACTTTTGTGAGTCTTGATGCTGATTTCGAGTTTTGGGTGCTACACTTTACATGTATGTGGTTGTTTATATGCTTTTAATATATGTAACCAAGGTATCGTTCTGATCGCAGAAAGGCGAGTGACCGAAGTCACTCGCTTTCTGCGTAGGGGGGTGCACAGAAATATTATTTACTTTGTGGTGCGTCTCCCTTAAATTCGCAAAGTGAAATAGCACCTGGGCCTCCTGGGAGGTTATAAGCAAACTTGGTAGTTGTTCTTGCAGGGCGGCGGCAGCTAATCTCCACACCTTGATTGATGAGGGCAGCCAGGGTGAAGCAGAGGCAAGGCTCCAGGAGAAAAAAGCAACTTTTCTTCCGCTTAGGTGGCTGACTGATAAAGGATTCTTCCTTCCCTCTTTCTCCTGCCTGCAGGCTTGCCAACCTCCAGCCAAGGACAACTCTAACGTGCCAGCCTTCTGCCAAGGACAATCCCAGTTCTAGGGGCTCAGTAGGGACTGCTCCAGACGAAGAATAGATTCTTTTGAACTATGGTGCTGGAGAAGACTCTTGAGAGTCCCTTGGACTGCAAGAAGATCAAATCAGTCAATCCTAAAAGAAATCAACCCTGACTGTTCCCTGGAAGGCCAGATAATGAAACTGAAGCTCAAATACTTTGGCCACCAAATGAGAAGGGAGCCCTCACTGGAGAAGACCCTGATGCTGGGAAAGATTGAAGGTCAAAGAAGACGGGGACGGCAAAGGATGAGATGGTTAGACAGTGTCACAGATGCAACGAACATGAAATTGAGCCAACTTCAGAGGATGGCGGAAGACAGGAAGGCCAGGCGTGATCTGGTCCATGGGTTCGCAAAGAGTCGAACTCGACTGTGCGACTGAACAACAACAACAACAACAAAAACGTTACTATCTCTCCTAGTGATTTTTTTTTGGGGGGGGGCTTTGTGTTCGCAGAGGGAGATAAGTATGTTTCTTTTTTTATCTTTGCTCCTCGTAAATAAAACCATGTCGATTTTTGGAGAAAACTAACGTGTGGGACAGTGTAATCAGTAATTGCTTCCTTTCATATCCCAGGAGGGAGCCCAAGGACCAGGAGGTCTACTTGAGAGGAAAGAACCCTTCTGCGTGTCTGGGGTGTGAAGTTGCCAGCTCAAGGCGAAAGGACAAAAGGGGGCTGGACCCCAGACTCATGCACCCACTCTAGAAATGAATAGACGCACAGTGTATTCTGGCATTTCATGCTGTGTTGCCATGATGAGGGGAGGATTTTGGATCTGGGTTGAAAGGAGAGCTTAGCGACAGATCCCAATGCTGGCCTTCAAAGAGCAGCACACTCCCCATTGCAGACTGCCATGATGGGAAACGGGCCGATCGACACATTGCTTTGCAAAGTACGCCTCTCGCATGTTTTCAGCACATATTTGAAAACACACAACAACTGGGGACGAGCTTGTGTTTTTGCAGACACGCACATGTAACTCTTCATTTGAGGGGCTCCGGTTCCCTGCCTAGCGTATACTGGGTGGCAAACCTGGAATTGTCAGTGTGAGAAAGGGCCACGAGAACTAAGCACTGAGGCGACCCTTCCTGCCCTCCCTTCTCATGATCTGCCCAAGTTCACAGAATCAGCATTGCTGTCAGATGGCCATCGAGCCTCTGTTTAGAAACATCCAAAAAAGGTGCTACTGGACTCTTATTCTTTTCTACTGCTACCCATCTTGATTTATCTGCTATTAGTGGTCTTCTCAGTGAAGGATCTCTAATAAGCTTTTGAGGACTCTGGTGGTGATCCTCAGTATCCCTGACATCACAAAATAGTGCCAATGGGCCCATGTGCATCAGGATGCATCACAAAATAGTGCCAATGGGCCCATGTGCATCAGGATGCATCACAAAATAGTGCCAATGGGCCCATGTGCATCAGGATGCATCACAAAATAGTGCCAATGGGCCCATGTGCATCAGGATGCATCACAAAATAGTGCCAATGGGCCCATGTGCATCAGGATGCATCACAAAATAGTGCCAATTGGGGCCAAGAAGAGCATGAGTTCCATGGCCCTGCACATGGAATTCTATCAACAGCTTGGAACTGTTGGATCTCAGCTCCTCCCTTCTGCAAGGATTTTAACATCGTCGCCAATGTACTTTAATTGGGAAGGGCGAAGGGTCGTTCTTTTAATTGGGAAGAAGACGGGCAACGTTCTCAGAAAGGCTCGTTCAAAGAGTCTGAACATATCAGCAACGGAACACCACGATGTTTTGGGTTTTTTTTAAATCCTCCCAAGCGAAAAGCTTGGAGTGAGGTTGGAGTCTTGAATGGTTCCACCAAAAGGTAATGAATATTTGGACCAGGGTCCCTTTTTTGCCATTTCCACGTTTGCACTGCTGCGAAGGCCCACCTTTGGTGTCTCTCGAATGGAAAAAAAAATTAAGCGCATCCAAGGAAGAGCAAAGCCATTCAGTGCGAGATGCCAAGTCAGCTGCCCGTGACAGATGCCATCATTTAACGTGGCATGAAAGGGGGGTTGGTGGAGGAAAAGCAAATGAAAGATTCCGAACGAAGAGGCATTTCGGCAAATCCTAACCTAGGCGAGTACTGGGGCGATTCTTTAGGAGGAATTCCTTTGGTTGGATACTTCTTATGCCGGGGAGTTGAAGGGGGCGGGGGACCCACAATCATATCTATCCTGGCGAAAATAAATGAGAAGAAAAAAAGACACCAACAAAATGCATAATGAAGCCACACAGAAACGAGAGAAAGTTCGGTCTGAGGCTGCGGAGAAGACCTCAAACACACACACAAACACATACACACAAAGAAAAAAGGCCAGGAAGGAAAAAAAAGTTGAATATTATATTCCGCTCAGAACAGAAAGCAGTAAAATCGTATCACCTGATCAGCTGGGATCGATTAATTGAAAGTGTTCCAAAGTTTGAGCCACAATAGAACAACAGCTCTTCTGCGAAACAAGGCAGTTTTTCTCCAATGAACAGCCAACACATGCTATAGAAACCTGGTGCGTTTCTGACAATATTCCATTGGAAAGGCAGACTCCTTGCGTTTACAACACATGGAATTGCATTCTTCCATCGTTTAGGGGAGAGAAACACAAGCTTGGAAGGAGGCAAACACACCCATGGATGGAATGGGACGAGAGAGAGATAAACAAAATGTATTAAAGGTACTAATGTTATGGGACACTTCACAAAAGCAGCGAGGGACATGACCGGTGGAAATGGGTAAATGCATGGAAACATCCCTGGCATTGACAACATCGCGCCCTGGCAGTTCACATCTTTAATTTTGAGTATATCGAAAGGTGTTGCAGGCCTGGGGTTCTGTGATTCCTTCCTCTGCCAGGTTTTATAACCTGCCTGGGCAGTCAGTGGAGTGGGCGGACAAGCAAAGAGACCTTGCGGAATTACCTTCCTCTCCGGAAATTTTCCGAGCTCAAAAAGGCCTTTTGAAAGTTGACCTTCTGCCGGGAAGTATACGTAACAGACTGGATTTCCCCCCGCGTATGTAAAAGCAGATTTCAAAGTGCAATTCTGAGTTGGAAAACAACTGGCAAGAAGCTTAGGTCACCCACCCCTCGCCTTGCCTTGCGGCTCGCTAGTTCTGATTTTGGGTTTTGCCTTTAAGAAATAGCCCTGACAAGCCCGATCTCATCAGACCTTGGAAGTAAAACAGGATCAGCCATGGTCAGTTGTTGGATGGGAGACCCCCAAGGAAGACCGGGGCTGCTACGCAGAGGGAGGCAATAGCCAAAGCACCTCTGCTCATCTCTTGCCTTGAAAAATCCCTCGAGGGGCCATTACGAGTCAGCTGTGACTTGACAGCACACAATTATGATCAAACGCAGATCTCCTCTTAAGCATTGTTGGACTCGCCGCTGAAGTTCAGCCTCAGCTGTACTGGGCGAAGGAAATCGATGTAAAAGCAGATTTCAAAGTGCAACTCTGAGTTGGAAAACAACTGGCAAGAAGCATAGGTCACCCCCCCTCGCCTTGCCTTGTGGCTTGCTCGTTCTGATTTTGGGTTTTGATTTTAAGAAATAGCCCTGACAAGCCCGATCTCATCAGACCTTGGAAGTAAAACAGGATCAGCCATGGTCAGTTGTTGGATGGGAGACCCCCAAGGAAGACCGGGGCTGCTACGCAGAGGGAGGCAATAGCCAAAGCGCCTCTGCTCATCTCCTGCCTTGAAAAATCCCTCGAGGGGCCATCACGAGTCAGCTGTGACTTGACAGCACACAATTATGATCAGCTCAAAACGGCCCTTTGAAAGTTGACCTTCTGCTGGGAAGTATACGTAACAGACTGGATTTCCCCCCGCGGAAACAAATAATCAGCTGGCTCGGTTCGTTGCCCAGAGCGGCTTGCTCCCATTTCCCAAGTGGAAACCCTCGAACAATCGAGTCGGTTGTCCGAATCGTCCTGACAAGTGGGGAAGAGGGTTCCGCTAGTCTTTTGTATCTGCAACTGTCAGTCGCAAAAGCAGGAAAAAGCCCCCTTCTCGGCACAGCCGGGGGAAAGGACAAATAATCAGCTGCTTCGGTTCGTTGCCCCGAGCGGTTTGCTAAAGGGTTGCTGCCCCTCGGCTGGCGTGTCAAGCGTTCTGTGAGACCTTTCGGGTTCAGCTTTACAGATGAACAAATTGGTGAAGACAGCCACAGGAAGCACGAAGGCTTACAGGCCCTCACTAGAGAGTGCAGGAGAGGACTCGTAGACAAAGAGCGTAGCATTTTCTCCATACGCTAGAGTTACCAACCCCTAGGATCTCCTGGAATTACAACTGATCTCCAGACTACGCAGATCAGTTCCCCTGGAGAAAATGGCTGATTCAGAGGGCGAACTCTCTGACATTATAACCTGCTGAGCACCCTCCCGAAACCCCGCCCTCCCCAGGCTCCACCCCCAAATTTTCAGGAATATCCCAACCTGGAGCTGCCAACCCTACCATACACTGAGGATACAATCCACAAAGCAGCCAGGATTGCAATGAATTCGTTTTTACCTCTTTGCCTTAAATAATCTCAGAACGAGAAAAACAAAAGCCCTGCCAAACCCGCTCTGAAGGAAGACTTTGAAAAAAATACTGTGCCTCCTCACCTTCTGTCCTACTTTGCCTTAGCCAGAGCTAATAAAGCTCGGTTGGGGCAATGGAAAGAAGATCCAATTACTAGGTGGAGCGTGTTGTCAATCACTACTATCCTTGCAAATAGCTCTGACATTTAGCGAGAAGACTGGTACAACGCTCACTGTTTTCCCTAAGCTCTTTGCTAAAGCAAATGGCTGTAGTTAAAATCTACCCACGAGCAGTTTATTGGATTCATGGGAGACATCTCCCCCCCCCTCCCGAAAACAAGGGAAGGGTAAAAGCACGATTCTGAGCAGGCATGCTTACTGCAAAAACGAAGGCCTGTAAAAGTCACTGCTCTTGCAGCTGAACAAGACGTCTATCAGAGGAAACTCGGATGCTGAACCCCATCAAAGATAGCTTTGGCTTGAATCCCATGAATAAGTTCCCACAAACGCTAGATACTCACTGCCACGGAGCACGCCTCCTCTTCTGCTCAGACTTCCACTCACGCAAGGGCCCAAGGATAAATAATTCACCTTGCACGAGCGGAAGTTTTGGCGGAAGATGAAGCACACTCCACAGCGGAGACTGTCTGGCACTCATAGAATTCTTTCATAGGATTGAGAGGGGCAGCAAAAGGGGGGGGGATACTGAATGTTGACATCTCCTCTCAATTTTACTGAACTGGATTCAATTGGTTTTCAAGCAAAAAAGATAAGTTTCCCATTAGACATATGAAGCTGCCTTATCCTGTGTCATCCCACCGGTCTATCAAAGTCACTATTGTCCAGCCTGGCATCCAAGGCCTCATGCAGAGGTCTTTCACTCCCCCCGTTCCCTGACCTTTTTAACTGGACATGTTGGGGATCGAACCAGGGACCTTCTGCATGCAAAGCAGAGCGTCTGCCACTGAGCCATGGCCCCACACAAAAAGAGGACAGTTTTTCTTTGATCCCTTCACCAGACACAGAATTCAAGGGCCTTTTTCAGATTCCAGTCCTCTCCAGTGTTTCTTTCCAATGGCCTTTCCTGGCTGTCCTGTTTTATTAGTAGTAGTATTGTTATGGATTGTCACAGTCAGATATTTGACTGGTAGATGGCTAGATCTTGAACTGCAGAGCACAAAGTTCTTGGGAATTGCAGAGGTATCTCTGCAGGATTCTAGCTGTTCCATTTGCTCAGTGCCCAGAATGTCCAGATCAAGATGGGTAAGCTGTGTTAGCCTGTCTGTAGCAGTAGAAAAGAGGAAGAGTCCAGTAGCACCTGAAAGACTAACAACATTTGTGGCAGGATAGTTCTTGTGGGTCACTGCTCACTTCTTCAGACACGGCTAGTGCTTGTTAGTCATTAAGGTGCTACTGGTCTCTTGTTCTTTTCGACTGCTGCAGACAAACTGACATGGCTATCCGTCTTGATCTAGCTCCATCGAAGGCACCACATTTAGCTGTACAAAATGGACAAAAAGAGGACAGTTTTTCTTTGATCCCTTCACCAGACACAGAATTCAAGGGCCTTTTTCAGATTCCAGTCCTCTCCAGTGTTTCTTTCCAATGGCCTTTCCTGGCTGTCCTGTTTTATTAGTAGTAGTATTGTTATGGATTGTCACAGTCAGATATTTGACTGGTAGATGGCTAGATCTTGAACTGCAGAGCACAAAGTTCTTGGGAATTGCAGAGGTATCTCTGCAGGATTCTAGCTGTTCCATTTGCTCAGTGCCCAGAATGTCCAGATCAAGATGGGTAAGCTGTGTTAGCCTGTCTGTAGCAGTAGAAAAGAGGAAGAGTCCAGTAGCACCTGAAAGACTAACAACATTTGTGGCAGGATAGTTCTTGTGGGTCACTGCTCACTTCTTCAGACACGGCTAGTGCTTGTTAGTCATTAAGGTGCTACTGGTCTCTTGTTCTTTTCGACTGCTGCAGACAAACTGACATGGCTATCCGTCTTGATCTAGCTCCATCGAAGGCACCACATTTAGCTGTACAAAATGGGAATCCATCTACCTTAAGAACATAAGAGACGCCAATGTTGGATCAGGCCAAAGGCCCATCTAGTCCAACACTCTGAAGAAACTTGCACAGGATACAAACAGAAATCAGAATGTCCAGGTGTTTCTTGAGACTTCCAGGCAGAGCTCCAAAGGCTCCAATGACAGCTGGCACAACAGTCACCTTCTTCTCCCAGAGGTGCCCTAACTCTATTCATAGGTCTTAGTATTTTGTGATCTCCTCTTTTTCTTTCTTTTCTATTCTGCTATCTCCTGGGATTGCCATGTCAATGATCCATACCCTATTTTTCATTTTTTTCCCCTACAAGTGTGATATCAGGGGTGTTATGCTCCAGCTGCTTATCGGTTTGCAACTGGAAATCCCAAAGAATCTTTGTTTCATCATTCTCCATGATCTTGTCTGGTTTGTTGCTGTTGTTGTTAATGAACAGCCAGAAAAGGCCACTGGAAGAACACTCGAGAAAACTGGCACCTGAAAAGACACTTGAATTCCGTGTCTGATGAAAGGATCAAAGAGAATTTGTCTGTCTTGGAATAATAATATCACTCAAAGGGAGGTCAAGTTTCATCCTGCATGAGACAACACCGTGGCTTTCTTGGAACCACCTGTGCCTGCATTTCAATGGTGTGCCTACTGGTTGTCACGCCTGCTGAAGACCGAACCCCAAAGACCTCACACTCCAGAACACAATCTCCATACCTGCAACCCACACAGAAATAGCCCTTACCCACCAAACCCAGTGGCTTTTGCCTGGAGGCACAAAAGGTGGGGAGGACAGGCAGTGGTGGCCAATAGGACCCCCCCCACGAGCCTTGGTTACGCATGCCCAAAGGCCGGATGCAGAAAGAGGGGAAGCTCTTGCCTGGACTGGAGGTTCTTGATCCGGGAGAGCATATCCAGATGTCCTGCGGAATACTGCTCGATGACGTCCATCACATCGTAGGGCCGCAGGCTCTCCTTGAACTTCCGCTTGGAAACCAGAAACCTCATGATGCTGAAACAGAAAGGGAGGAAGGGGGCAGGTAAAAAAACCTCGGCCTGTGCACGTGTGCGAGTGTGTGTTTCCCCCGTGAACCATCTCTCCTACGTTACTACCTCCTCTGCTGTCCCCACGCACACGCATGGATGCATAAAGCAGACTTCTGCTGAATCAGACCACTGGTCCACCAAGGTCAGTACGGTCTACTCAAACGGGCAGTGGCTCTCCGGGGTCTCAGGCTGAGGTGATTCGCATCACCTGCTACCTGGTCCTTTTAACTGGAGCTGGAGGGGATTGAACCTGGGAACCTGCGGAAGCATTCCGCTGAGCCATGGGCCCCTTCCCCCATAAAGTAGACACACAAACCTGCCTTCTGCTGGATCAGAACACTGATCCACCAGGGTCAATCCTGTATTTTTTTTTTTTTTGAAATGTTTATTTAAAAGATAACCAAAGTGCTACAGTCTAACAATCACAATGATACAATCAAATCCAGTTACAGATTTTATACAATGACTATAAAAAGCATTTTCGACTAAACAGTGGCAACCTAATAAACATTTAACTCTTAAATGTAACATATTTCGTATTATACCCTAAAACATCCTTAATTCAGGAAGAAATTAATATTTGTATCTCTGATTTATCTAAAATGTTAACTTTTGAGAAATCATTGTGACCAAGTACAAATTGAATAAACGGTGACCATTTCTCGATAAAAGATGAAGTGCGGCTGTCGGACTTAAACCTATGTAAATCTATTGTTATCTTATCAAAAACAAAATATTCCCAAGCTTTGTTAATCCAATCTAGCAAGGTAGGTAGGTTCACGTCTTTCCATTTAGATGCCAATACTGACTTGGCTGCAACGAATAAGAGTGCCGCCAATTCCTGTTTGTGTTTTGGTAATTTAACTCCGTCCCAGAAATTTAATAAGATGATTTCAGGATTGCTAGGGATGTAACAATTTGTCATTTTGCAAACTGTATTAACTATTAGGGACCAAAAATGCATTATGTGTGGACAGGACCACCAGATATGTATAAACGATCCTTTATTGCCACATCCCTTCCAGCAATAAGGTGGCACCGCTGGGGTTGAATGTGATAATTGTATCGGGGTTTTATACCACCTAGCTATTAATTTGTATGATTGAAGTCTTATGTTCAGGCATGGTGATGTATAGATTGGTGAACTCCAGATTTGCATCCATTGATCTTCATTTAACTCTTTTCCCAAATCTTTGTTCCAGGCAGGGGTCTTGTTGTAGAAAAAGAGCTGCCGGAGCTCATTAGCATAACTCATTAGCATAACTTATTTGCATATGCCACGCCCCCTGACATCACCGGAAGTGACAGAAGGCCACACCCCCTGACATCACCGGAAGTGTGTCAGAAGGCCCGGCTACTTACCCTCCTGCTTCATCCTCATTCCCAAACGGAATGAGGATCGAAGCAGAGGGCGGGGTAAAGAAGGGGGCGGGGCTTCACCACGTGACCGCCCCGCCCCCTAGAGGTTCTCTTCCGGAGCTCCGTACCTGAGAGCTCCCCCCCGACTAGAGCCCTGGTTCCAGGCCTTTTGATATTGAAGAAATTTGGACGAATTGCGGTTTAGCAAGATGGAATAGATTTTCGAGATCAAACCAGTGATTGAATTGGAGTCATCATTTAAAATTTTTTCAAACTCCGTTAGTTTTACCCGTAGTTGGTTACATTTTTTAGAATTTACTAATGTTCTAATTTGAAAATATTCATACCAAGTAATATTTAGCCCTTGAGATCCCTCTATTTGTGCTTTTAGTTTAATAAAGCCTTTGCTAGTGATATCTATGAGTCTTGTCTTATTTAATTGTCTCCAAATTGAATAAGACTTACAATTTTGTGCTGGCTTAAACCAGTCTTGACCTGTAAAATTTGTTAACGGCGAGATTTGTGGGGTCAAAAAAGAGTTGTACTTGTTCCATACCTGAAACGTAGCGTGCAAAAACGGGTTATTCATTTTTCTAAAATGGGCAGAAGATCTATGATTCCATAATGATTCGCGAAAAGATCTAGTAGGTAGGAGTGAATCTTCCATAGTCTTCCAATCAGCAACGTATGTTTTTCTGTAATGTTTCGCTATGTTGGATAGTATTACTGAATCGTGATACAGTTGGATATCTGGGACTGCCAACCCACCAAATTTAGACGGCCGTCTGATGGTTGAGAAATTTATCCTAGGTTTCTTAAAGTCCCAAATAAAATCATTAATATCTTTTTGCCATTTTTTAATTAAAGTAGTTGGGATCAATATTGGAAGGGCTCTTAAAAAAAAAGTTAATTTGGGTAAAATCATTGATTTTAATATCTTATTTCGTTCCATTAGTGATAAGTTGAGAGATGTCCACTTTTTCAAAATAGAGGAGATCTGTAACGATATGGTTTGATGATTAAGCTTCAATAATTCTTTTAGATCCAGTGGGATTATGATTCCTAGATATCGAAATGAAGACGTCACCCATCTGTAATTGAAGTGTGTATTAATAAATTTTCTGGTCTCCTTCGTGATGTTTATTGGATATACCAAAGATTTGTCAATATTAATTTTGAGGCCAGATGGTGAACAAAAGGATTTAAGATGGCTTTCCACATTTAATAGTGAATCCCTAGGGTTAGACAGAAACACAAGTAAGTCGTCTGCAAACATACTAACTTTTGTCTCAACTGAGTTCACACTTAGCCCCTTTATAATTGGATCATCCCTTAAGAGGTGCGCCAAAGGCTCAACTGCTATGGCAAATAATAACGGTGACAAGGGGCAACCTTGCCTGGTGCCCCTTGTCATAGAGTGGGGTGCAGAGTTAATGTTATTAATGCGTAGCATGAAAGTTGATGATTTATAAATTGACTGAATTATATGTAAAAAAGGTTTACCAAAATTCATATGACGTAACAATGATAGTAAATATTCATGTTCAACAGAATCGAACGCTTTCTCTATATCTAGAGAAAGCAGACAGGATTCTGAGTCTATACGTTGTTTATTTTGGTGTATTACATCAATAGCCTTTCGGACATTGTCTGTCAAATCCCTCTGTAAAATAAAACCAGTTTGGTCTTTGTTTATATATTCTCCGATGAATTGGTTCAGTCTGCGGGAGATGATGTTTGTGAATAATTTGTAATCATTATTCAGCAATGATATTGGTCTATATGACTTTGTGTCTTCAGGGTCCCTGTCTTTTTTATGAATTAAAACAATTTTGGCTGAGTTCCATGAATTTGGGATTTGTCCCAATGCTAAAATCGAGTTGAATAATGTGAGAAGAGTACATGAAATGGTGGAGGAAAAACATTTATAAAATTCGGAGGTGTAACCATCCACCCCAGGGGATTTATTCAATTTTAAAGATTTAATAGCCATTAACAGCTCTTCGGAATCTATTGGGCGATCTAGGAATTCTTTGTGTGTATCAGATAGTTTTTTCGTGGATTTGTTATCCTTAATAAACGAATCAATAATTTGGGAAGTTGGTTTAGTAGTAGTATAAAGTTTAGAGTAATATTTGACAAACTCTGAAATAATCTTTTTTGGGGATGTAATTAAATTTCTTTTTTCGTCTCGCACTCCTTGTATTGTAGAATCCATTTCCCTTTTTTTAACTTTCCATGACAGCTGCTTGAGAGATTTTGGGGTGTTACTCCAATAATCTTGTTTTATGTAGAGGAGTTTTTTAGCAATCGAATTAACTTCCATGGCATATAGTTTTTTCCTTTCCATTTCCAATTGTTTATATGTTTTGGGACTACAGGTGGCCTTATGTTCATTTTCTAAAGTTGTAATGTTATCTATTAATTGTTTTTTAATTGCTTCTTTCTTTCTTTTAATTGCTGTTGATATTGAAATGAGTTTGCCTCTTAGCACAGCTTTGTATGCGTCCCATATGATTTCAATGGGGGTATCTTCTGTTTTGTTAAATTGAAAAAATTCTTCAGTGTCTAACTCTATTTGCCTGATTACCTCAGGGTTTTTCAGTAAAAAATTGTCAAATTTCCAGCAATAGCTCCTATCATATTCAGTGTTTAGATTAAGTTTGCAGCTTATTGCTGCATGGTCAGACCAACATTTTGGTTCTATTTCTGTTGTTGTCACATTTTTAAGAGTGTCTTGTGATACTATTATGTAATCTATTCTTGAGTAAGACTGATTTTTGTGTGAAAAATAAGTAAAGTCTCTCTCTTTATTATGGAAAAATCTCCAGGTGTCTATAAAATTATACTTGTGGAATAGTTTTTTCAACCCCGTATAATTAGCCTGATTAGGGTTTTTTAATATACATTTGTTAGAGAGTTTCTTTCTATCAGAAAAGGTGTCCATAACATAGTTAAGATCAGCCCCTATAATTAATGAGCCTTCTTGAAAAGTATGAAGAGCTTCAAATACTTCTTTTATAAAGCCAAGCTGCCCCGAATTGGGGGCGTACATGGCTGCAATAGTCACTACTTGAGAGTTCAACCTACCCTTTACAAAAAGAAATCTTCCATTGGGGTCTTGTATTATCTCTATTAAAGAAAATTTGTTATACTTTGAGACTAAAATAAGGACTCCCCTTGCTTTAGAGGAGCCGGAGGCTGAATATCTGTGTGGGAACCATGTTGAGCGGAATAATAAATTAGACTCATTCTTTAAATGACTTTCCAAGAGGATTGCAACATCAACTCTCTGCGTTTTCAAATAATTGTGTATTCTCCTCGCTTTTATTATATTATTGACCCCGTTACAATTTAAGGAAAGAATTTTCAATGTGGCAGCCATTTTATTTGTTGTTTCATCGCTTTGTTAAGCCCTATAATACAGAAAAATGCTCTACCTCCTAGCATAGATACTTTAACTTCAGTAATTCCAATCTTATCTGATCGTGATGCACATATCTTTAAAACTAAAAGCTGCATACAATAGTAACTGATCTCTTCTGGAGTCATATTCATAATATTGGAAGTTGTAACAGTAAAACATTTTAAACCGTTGAAAAGAAAACACATCCTTGGTACAGCTATATACAAAAAACACTTAATGCAACTTGTAGATATCGTACTTGTAAAAAGATCAAGTAACTGGGATGCAACCAGCACCCATCTAAACCCTACCCCCCTCCCTTCCCTCCCCCTTGTGAAACTATTAACAGGGATTGTGCATAGCCAAACATGAGTACACGATAGATAACCCCCCCAAACATTCGTGTCTCTTCCCCTCCTTCTGTTCCATACTACAATAGATAGGAAGAAAATTCTCAAAAAAAACCCCCCACCCCCCTTTCCTCCCCCCCAAAAAAACCTTCAACTTTCCCCCCTCCCCGAACTCCCCCCCCCACCCTCCCGTTTAAAGAAAGATCAACATAGGCAGTGCAAATTATCAAAGCCAAAAGCATATATACACACCAAGTGCACTGCAATTCAAATTTACTCATTGGGTTCATAAGAAAAGGAACTCCCGTCCCTCTCCTTGTGAACGGAGCCAAAGGCTCTCCCAAAAGTACTCCTCCCCTCCCTACTCGGAGCAAAGGTCTCGAGTGATCCTCGTTAGTCCCCCTCCCCCAATTCTAAATGGCTTACTTGCTTGGAAGTATTCCAAACTTATATAAACAAACGCAGAGCATGGTAAATTTTATCAAAGTTTCTTAGCTTAATTGTAGGCGTTTCCAAGTGCAAAGCGTACTGGTATCTTGCTTCCTTTGACCGGTGAGGGAAATTCTATCTTTCTCTTGTTTGTTTGCTTTTCACATTCCATTGGGACTTGCAGTCTGAGCGTTTTCAAGATTTCCCCTCCACCTTCCAGGTCGTCAATAGTCCAGGTCTTGTTCAGGTGTCTTAGTTGTAGCGATCCTGAGGGAAGCCATTTGTATCGCACTCCAGCCTCCATTAGCTGACTTACTATAGGCTTGAGTTTTCTTCGAACTTGCAGAGCCTCTGAAGAAATATCCGGAAAAATTTGAATTACTTTATCCTGGTATTTAATTCCTCCTGAAGCTCGGGAAACTTCTAGAATCTTCCTTCTGGTGCGATTGTCTGCAAATTCCGCTATTATATCTCTTGGTGTTCTCGTCCGGGGGGTAAACATTGAGCCCAGTCTGTATGCTTTGATGATTAGCGGAGCTACCCCCTCCTCCAGTTTTAGGGCTGACGCGAGCCATGTTGCAAGAAATATTTCCAATTCAGTGTTCCCTTCCGATTTTTCTTCAAGTCCTCTAAATTTAAGATTGCGTTCTCTGACCTTATTTTCAAGCGTTATAATTTTGTCCTTTGCCCATTTTTCGTGCTTTTCTAGGCTTTGTATGCTTTCTTGGTTTGCCTGTCCGATTTCTAGTGCTGTCTCCGTTGCGGTGGCCACGTCCTGAATTTTAGCATGTACAGCTTCCAATTGATCTGTGACAGGTTTAATGAGTTCATGGAATAAACCCATTATTTCCGTTTTGAAGGAGGTCAGGCTGGCATGAAAATCAGCAGTTGTCAACAGTTCTGAGGTTTGTAGGGTTGCTCGAGGAGTCTCGGCGGCCATTTTGTTTTCCGCGGGCGCTCTGCACGGCGTGACCTTTCCTGTTTTTCCTTCGCTCAGAAAAGCTTTCAAAGCTTTTGAAGACGCTGTGGACGATCTCTGTTTGTATCCGGTAAGTTTGCCCATTCCCTGAGTTATTTGTAGATAGTTCTGCGTTTGGTGTTAGATGAATTGGGGGAGTTGGCGAGGAGCTCGGTCCCTATGCAGCCGACCTCATTCAGGTCGTCGCTCCGCCCCAACACCTGAATAAAACTTGGTCTTAAAGGTGCCACTGGACTGTTTTGGACTGGGGGGCCTGGGAGGCCTTGGGGGGGAGCTCTGCAACTTACCTGGCTGCTTCTTGCTCTGACTGAGGGCTGCTGAAAGCAGGGGGTGGGGCTTGTTGCTTGTGCCCGCCCCCTGGGCTCTTTACTACCGGAGCTCCGCTCCTGTGCGCTCCTGCAGGAAATGACTCCTGGCTAAATACTGTACTGCAATATCTAATATCTGTTGAAAATGCAAGCAGAATGTGGGCCTGTACTTGCATATGTGGTGGACTTGCGGTAAAGCTAAAGAATATTGGCTGATGATCCGTAAAATGCTACAGGAAAATATTGGAAGCCCAATACCATTAAATCCAGAATTGTTCCTTCTTAATATGATACCAGAAGTCTATGGGAAAGCAGATAAAAACCTGATGATGATACATTGTGTAACCGCTGCTAGAATTCTTTATGCCAAATACTGGAAAACAGACAACGTTCCAGACAGGGTAGAAGTCATACAAAAAAAATGTTTAATGTGGCTGAAAAGGATAAATTAACGCTTAGGTTAAAAGGGAAAGATGAGTCGGTTTTTGAAAAGAATTGGATAAAGATGTATGAATGGAGGAATCAAGTCTGAAGGGTTAGGTCAAAGATTTATTGTTTGATGATGAGAGACAGCGCTGCCGAAAGCATTTCCCCTAATAATTTTGCATATTCAGTTGGCTGCGTATTTCTTTTTTGCTCTGAGAAAATTCAATAAATATTTATTGGGGGGGGGGGGAATACTGTCCTACTTCGACCGGCAGTGACTCTCCAGGGTCTCCCCCATCCCATCCTCCCTGATCCTTCTAGCAGGCCGTGGCAGGGTCTCAACCGGGGACCTTCTGCATGCCAAGCAGAGGTCCTACCACTGAGCCACAGCCCAGAGCCTGACATAACCTGGCCAGTAGGGGAGATTTCCCAGCACGTCCCTCTTCGCGAGAAGGCTCACCGTGGGATCCCTCCTCCCTTACCAAACAGCCCTGATGCTGACTTTGAGGCCCGGCGTCAGATCTTCTGTCACAAATTCACAGTTGCAGCTCTTGTTGTCATCTGGAATGTCTTCTCCGGGGAGACTGACTTCTAGAAGGAAGAGGATGGAAGAACAAGCAGAAAGGAGAGTGAGATGCCCGGTATAACAGGCAAGGTGTATGGAACGAGCATCTACGCTTGCAACTCACAGCAAATCTCTCCCCCCCACACACACTGGTGGTGGGAAATGCCGTCAAAGTGGCAGCTGACTTATGGCAACCCATAAGTTGGGAGTAAGCAGTGAAGTGGCTAAATTTGCGGATGATACGAAGTTGTTCAGGGTGGTGAAAACCAGTGAGGATTGTGAGGCACTCCAAAGGGATCTGTCAAAGTTGGGCGAGTGGGCGTCAACATGGCAAATGGGGTTCAATGTGGCCAAGTGCAAGGTGATGCACATTGGAGCCAAAAATCCTAAATATAAATACACATTGATGGGGTCTGAACTGGCAGAGACAGATCAAGAGAGAGATCTTGGAGTTGTAGTAGATAACTCACTGAAAATGTCGAGACAGTGTGTGACTGCAATAAAGAAGGCCAATGCTATGCTGGGGATTATTAGGAAGGGTATTGAAAACAGATCAGCCAATATAATAATGCCCCTATATAAATCAATGGTGAGACCTCATTTGGAATACTGTGTGCAGTTCTGGGCACCACACCTTAAAAAAGATATTATAGCTTTGGAAAAAGTGCAGAAAAGGGCAACTCGAATGATAAAAGGGTTGGAACACTTTCCCTATGAGGAAAGGTTAAAGCGCTTAGGGCTCTTTAGCTTGGAGAAAAGACGACTGAGGGGTGACATGATCGAGGTTTATAAGATTATGCATGGGAAAGAGCAGGTAAAGAAAGAGGTACTTTTCTCCCTTTCTCACAATACAAGAACCCGTGGGCACTCCATGAAATTGCTGAGCGGTCGGGTTAGAACGGATAAAAGGAAGTACTTCTTCACCCAAAGAGTGATTAACACTTGGAATTCACTGCCACAGGAAGTGGTGGCAGCTACAAGCATGGACGGCTTCAAAAGGGAATTAGATAAGCATATGGAGCAGAGGTCCATCAGTGGCTATTAGCCACAAGGTATAG